CAGTGCCACCTGCCAACTCAGTAACCTTAAAGAGTACTTTGCTAGAAAACCTGCCAAACGGACTCAAAAGTCAAGACTTTTCTTGATGTTTTAGCATTTAAAAGTATTTATTTTCAGGGAAGGAGGGACCTTTGAACAGGGCAAGTTCTTGCAGTTTTACAGTAAAGACAAGTTTCCACACAGAAGAATCGAGTAGCAATTAGAAGTTACTTAGCTTCTTTACTCACCTAAGTTATTCCGGTATCGTAACTGATTGCGGATGCTGTAGAGTACAACCTGCCTTTCATATTCCCTCTGAGAGTTTCCAAGACCCTTGAAAACATAAAGACCTTTTAGCTGACACACACAAAACCCCTTTTAGTTAAACCACTGCAAAGTGTCTTATGAGGAAACATATGCAGGCAGTTGTCATTACTCAGGGAGTCCCCCAGTTCAATACAGTGATAGTATCTTTAGTCTCTGTATGAAGTCAGAAGTATCTTTAGTTAAATAGGTGTCTCTACATGGGGTGCACCCATGTAGAGATAATATGCAATAATCTTTAGATTTTTTTTCCTAGTACCATTCTGATAAAAAAGGGAGCATCTAATTCTCAAATCAAAGGTTTTAAACCATCTTTTAGAAGACATGAAGCATCAAGCATTTTACCAAACATTCAGCATCTTGCAGCCTTGAAGAGTTACCCAGAACTAGTGTAGCATAAACCAAGCATGGTGAATGACATGTGAAGCTTCAACTGCTGCACCTAAGAAGCTTATAATGCAAAAAATAAATAATGAAATAGCTCAAGTTGTAGCTTCACACAAGTAAGGCAATCAAGTGATCTTTGGTCACAAGATTAAGGCATAAGTACAGCACATTACTTGACCATCATGAAAGAAGATAAAAAGAGAACTTTGGTTGATGCTTTAAATGCCTTATTTCAAAAGCTGTCCCCTCAAAATTCTTCATATTACTCTTCTACTCTGCATCTGCAACAAGCGATGGACCCCCCCCCCCCCCCCCGGTTCTCTCATTGATGCTTATATTAAAAAAGATCTTTCGATAAAAAGGTACTTCACTGCATATATGGGATAAACAAGGAAGTTGCACACATACTGTAGGATCAGGTATTAGAAAAGAAACACCTGGTATCACAGACAGGGTCCATAATTGGTTAAATATCCAAAGAGGGATCCAAGTATTTGCTCCAAGTACAAAAACACTGAGGACTATTCTAACACTAAAGTAAACAAAACAGTATTCCAGAAGTTACATTAAAGAAAATAATGCCTTAAATACTGGTATATTTTCTATCCTGAATCACATAGCCAGTAGTATAGCACTGAGCTGGGCAGGTAAAAAGAAATAATCATTCATGCCCCTCTTACAGCTCCCAAAAATCTCAAACTCAAGGAATTCAATTACTCGGGGCCTGCAGCCATTACCCATCCTCTCCATCCTTCTTCCGAGCAAGAGCAGGAATTGTTTTTCAGCATCTGCTTTCAAGCAGTGTAAGACTTTGGAGACGAGAACATCTCGACTTGACAGAATACCTCCCCTCTCCTATCAGAGGCCCATTAAATCCATCAAATCAAAGTTTCATGAGGTTTTCTTTTCCAGAAGCCACTCACGGCAACATTTCCCTGGCTACTGAAACACGGGGCTGCACAAGTCTCCGATGACACCTGCCCTGGTTCAGCTCACACTATTCCGGGTTGCGTGAGGGACACCCGCCTCAGCCGGTCTTGCGTCTGCACAAGCTGAGAGAGCACCCCACACACCCCCACATCTCCCTCTGCCCACAGAGACCCCAAACCACCACTACGTCCCCCTCTCCTCACAGAGTTCCCCACGAGCACACACGTATTATCCCCCGCTCCTCACATACAGACCCCACACCGCCCTCATGTCCCGCTCTCCCCACAGAGACACCCCCCACGCACACACACACCCCCCTCTCCCCA